GTCTGCGAGCGCTAATGCTTATTTATTTGAGGTCAGCCCTTACTCAGACATATTATATGATGATGGCTTTTCATCATCAACTTGTAATTTACAACGTATCTCTTTAATCCTATTGCGGCGTCTCAAAAAAAAGTCGTGAATATCTCTGTCGCTTGAGCAGTTTTCACACATATTTTTTTAGAATAATCAGAAAAAAAAGAAGCTATTTTGTAGGACTCTGACAAATATATATAACCATGGGCTTACGTAGTACTTACCGAATTGGTAAAGGATGATTTGGTTTTACGTGGAAATTATGCAGCAAATGTTATTAACTCAATGGATAATAATACTCATATTTCAAATTAGATGAGGTACTTTATTTTTAGTTTGTTCTAAAATAATTTTAAAATTTGAAATTAATTCAATGTTAAATTCTTTATTTGACCCTTTTTACCCTTAATGAGAAGCTTTTATAACCACAAAAATATCAAGACCCAACAAAGCTTTTACCCCTTAAGCTATTAAGATCACAAGTTTAAAAAATCTTTTTTTTTCTTAAACTCTATGCTGAGTCAAACTACCTTATCTAAATTGAAACGGAGGGACTAAAATAATATGTGTAGAGAATAATAAAACATAGGTTTTAGTGTAAAAATTCTGTGAGGTAATAATCACAGCCTCAAACTGTAACGACCCGACTGGTCGTTTTGAGTATCTGCATTTCGCTCGGTGATTTAGAGCCAAACTCTGTGTTTCGAAGCCTTTAGAGCCTCATTCTAGCCTTCCTTTATTTGCGTGCGCAGTCCGGGTATTGACCCGGGAGGCTTACATGCAAAAAATAAAATAAAATAAAAACAAGAATTTTTGTCTAAAAAGTTAATTTTAGTTGATTTCGGTCAACGTTTTGAGTAAATGGACCTGGACCCGTGTTTTGACGGTCCTGGTGGGTCCCTATTGAAATATGGGATATGGGCGTATGCCCGGAATCGAATTCCGAGGTCCCTAGCTTGAGTTATGAATTTTTATTGAAAATTAAAAGTCTGAAAAATCTAATGTTTTTAAGAATTGATTGAATGTTTGGCATTGTTGATACCGGGTCCGTATTTTGGTTCTGAAGCCCGGTACAGGTCCAATATAATATTTTTGACTTATCTGTAAAATTTGGTGGGAAACGGAGTCGGTTTGACGTGATTCGGACGTCCGGTGGTAAAAATAGAGATTTCAAAGCTTTCTTGAAAATTTCATTTGATTTGGTGTCCAATTAGTAGTTCTAGGTGTTATTTTGGCTATTTGATCGCGCGAGCTAGTTCGTATGATATTTTTAGACTGGTGTGCACTTTTGGTTTGGAGTCCCGAGGGGCCTGGGTATATTTTTTGATCATTGGTTGAGACACTAGTAAAGTTAAGAAACTTGGGAGTTTGACCATGGTCAATATCGGGTTAAGACGACCTCTTTTCAGTGTTTTGAGTGCACGAGCAGGTCCGTAGCGTGTTTTATGATTGAAACTCATATATGGTTTGTGTCCGGGAGGTTCCGGATGAGTTTCAGGGTGGTTTCGGATCATTTCGGAGAAGTTTGGTTTTTGCTGGTTTCTGGTGCGACACTGTTCATTAGCAATTGCGAACCTTATATGGCAATTGCGAAAATACTGTTCACCGCAATTACCAACCATTTATGGCAATTGCGAAAACACTGTTCATTGGTATATGCGAAGTTTTGTTCGCAAATGCGACATGTGCAGCCTGTTAAGTGCCGAGAATTCCAAGTTTTTGCTTCATTTCTCATATTTTTGAACCCTAGCTTCGAGGTGAGGCGATTTTCATACCAAAACATTGGGTAAGTATCTTAATCCATTTTCCAACTATATTTCATAATTTTATAGAAGATTTAACATCAAATTCATGAGAAATCCATGGAAAAATTTGGGGATTTTGTCAAAGTTTTGAAAAATGAAAAATTAAGATTTGAGAGTCGAATATGACTCGAATTTGAAAACAAAACACATATTTGGACTCGTGAGGCTGTGGGTAGTCAAGACCTACCCTTGGACCTGGATTTTGAGCGGGCGGGCCCGGGGTCTGACTTTTGTTGACTTTTGGCAAATCTAATAAAAATCACAACTTTATTAATTGAAATTATTTTCTCTTGCATTGTGTGATGTATTCAAGTCGTTGATGGCTAGATTGAGCCGGGCGGAGGCGAATTTGTTAAGGAAAAACGCTAGAGTGAGTGTTGAGTTAGCCGAATGGAGGTAAGTGTTTTGCCTAACTTTGTTGAGGAAATTTTTCCTCCTATTTGTCATTGTTTGCTACATGTGGGGGCGATACATATGTGAGGTGACGAGCGTATATGTATTGCCAAGGTTAATCATACTCGGGAGTGGATTATGTTACATTTATGCTTGTAGAATTTCGCGATCTCCTGCTTCATGCCTTACTTGACTCTTAGAAGCTAAGAACATAGTCTTAAATGATAGGAATCAAGACTTAGCTTATTATAACATGATCAAACTTGACGAAAATTCTGAGAATACATTGATGTGTCTAATTCGGTCATCTCTATGTGGAATCGTCATTACATTACTACGGACCATATTCATGAGATATTAGACTCTATGCTTGTGTTATGGATCACTGTGAGAATTGTGGAAGTATTTGAATAATACGGTTCTCGAGTGTTGTTGAATCATTGTTGATTTGAAAAGATGTGATTGGGATTTGTTTGAAATATCTGTTAAAACACTCTCCTTGATGTTATTTGTACTTCCTGCCTTATTTGTCATTTATACTCATATGCTTGGTAAGGAAGAGTGTAAAGCACGAAGGGTGATGCCGTGCCATTGTTTATACATTGTCATGTGAGGGAGAGTGTAAAACACGAAGGGTGATGCCGTGCCATATCATAGGGAGTAAAAGCACGAAGGGTGATGCCGTGCCATATTATTGAGAGTAAAATCATGAAGGGTGATGTCGTGCCACATTATTAAGAGTAAAAGCACGAAGGGTGATGCCGTGCCATATCATTTGAGAGTAAAAGCACGAAGGGTGATGCCGTGCCATTTCATTTATATCGTTATGCTTGTATGTTATCGCGAGCTCATGACACGATGGGTGTTTCCATGCAGGCGAGGATGAGGGACATGCATTATGTTTGATATCAGTCTTCCATGTATATGTCCTTGTCTTTACCTTGAACTGTTATTGTCATAATTATAGATCTGAGGTGATTTGTTGCCATTGTTCTGTCATGATCTCCATCTCAATTGTTATTGTGTTGCTCATACCTTCTATTTGCTTAACTTGCAAATACCATGCATATTTCCTGCTTTTATAATTATACTCATGTTGTATCTATTCTGTTGCACCTTAGTGTAAGCCTTCCACCATGCTAGTCATTCATGCCCTTACTTGTTAACTTGTAAAGACCATGTGTTTCCTTCTTGTTTGCTATATTTGTACTTAGGCCTCCACTATGCTAGTTAATTGAAGTTGATACTCTTTGTTTCCCATTGGTTGTTATTACTCACGTGCTTTCCGCCTAGTCTTTTACTGTTGCCCACATGTATATTCTCGTCCATTGTTGTTACTTGCCTATTTCCTACTTTGTAATTCCTGTTATCGTGTTTCTGTCACATGGTTGGTTCTGTTATATGTACATTTGGGAAGGATGAGTTGAACGCACGAAGGGTGTTGCCGTGCTAATTGATTTGTCATATAAATTTATTTATATATGGTGAGGATGAGATAGAAGCACGAAGGGTGTTACCGTGCCATTTGACTTGATATCTTATGGATACACTTCTCATACCAGGAAAGATTGTAAATCTTCTACTGTGATTCCTGCTAGTAATTGTTGACAGTCTCGCAGAATTGTATACGGCATTTTTATCTGTTATGTTTTGCACTGCCTATACTGTTAGTCTAATGTACAAGTTATAATAATAAGCATCTTTCAACTAAAAGCCTCGTCACTACCTCGACGAGGTTAGACAAAATACTTACGAGTACATGGGGTCGGTTGTACTGATACTGCACTTCTGCACGTTCCGTGCAAATTTTGGAGCGGAGTTGCTGGAGACGTCGGGTGCTGATTCGGAAGATGTTCGTGCGTTTGGATATAGCTTCCACTTGTCCTTGGTAGTTTAGATTATGGCTAATCTGTTTATGTAACCTTCAAACAGAACGTGTATTTATTTGTATCAGTTTTGAAATTCCAAATTTTAGAAGCTCGTGATTCGTACTAACAGGTCTTGGTAAACTTGTAAAGGTTCAATTAGCTATTCTCTATTTTCTTATTATCTCAGTCGTATTGTGTTTTTCATATTAGTTGGCTTACCTAGCGGGTTGAGTTAGGTGTCATCACGACTTGTGGTTTTTGGGTCGTGACACAAACATCTGTTGTTACATTTGGACCCTTATGTCTTTTATTACTACTATTGTCTGTAGGATGGATGCCGCTCAAGCTATCTACCCAGTGAACTTCATATTTGCAATAATTGATGATCCCCCATCCCCTCCCCCCCGCCCCCCACCCTAGATATATACTAGCAATACCACCTGCTTACCACTAAAGAAAGCTTATCACCAATGAATCACATTCCTACAAACATGTTTTGTTTCGAAAAGCACAGAAGCTATATATATCACAATGCACATTTCTCCTATTGCAGTTAGAATCAAAACTCATTACAAATTCACACCTTATACCAGCTTGATAATTATCTGCAGTGTAATTGCATCATAACTAAAGATGACTATATACAACAACAACCCTGTAAACTCCCATAAGTGGGGTCTGGGAGGGTAGAATGTGCGCATAACTTATCTTTACTCGGGAGGAATAGAAAGGTTATTTCCGAAAGACTAAAAAGATCGACTATATACGTTCTCGATATGCTGATGATTTTATGGCATGTACAAGTCGAAGACACCAAAATTTTGTCTAGTCAATGCATTCAAATCAACACGAGTGATCAGCTATCCGATGGAATAATGGAATCACAAAATAATCTTAACTCTTCAAGACAAATAACGGCATAAACCAATATATAGAGTATTAACTGCGCGCCTTCTGTAACACACAAAAAATATTGTGCAATTTATACATATTTTTATATGATCTTCATGTTTATACATAATATTACACGACATAACAATAAGGAAAAATAACTATTTAATTTCTTCACCGCAATCTTGATGGTGATGTACGTGATGGGGAAAACTCAACCGATGAGGAACTTCCCGATTCAATTGGTCCAAAAAATAAATCGGACAAGTAATGCCCTACATCCTCGGGAGAAAATCTGATCACGTGACTCGAATGTCTCTCTCTTGCCATCATATGTTTATGTGTATTGTAAAATTCCCGATATACTGGAAGTATTTTCCTTGCTATTGACACTTTCAGATTATCGCGGAGCTTACTATTTGGTACGATGCACACAGATTGCTTCCGGTGAGCTTGCTCGAACGACGAATTAAATTTCTTGAAAATCTCCTTCACTTGCTGGGGAGTGATTGTGGCATTTGGCTCTTGCGGAACGGATTCAATGACGTGGCTCCATCCTAGCCGTTCATAGTTTAATGCAAACTGTTTGATTTTTCCCTCCTGTTTTGATATCCAATTTTCACCAAGCAAGTACTTGAGATTCGATGAACGGACTTTTACGACGACGTATTGGAGATTGTTGGCTAAGAAGAGATACGCGAGAGATACATCTTTGTAGTGTTTCGCTTTGCCGTCGAGTTTGCAGAGAAGAAGGAGAATCAGCCAAGCAAATCGGAGTGAGATCGCCGGTGCCGGAGACTCATCAGAATCTGCAATGCCGAAAAATGATTCAGGTAATGAACCTTTTGCCGGAGGAGGAGCTTCGGCGAGGATGTCGGAGAGTATGTTGCTGAAATCAGCAAGTAGACTGATGTAATTCATTGCGTCAACGGTGAGAGGATGGATTCCACCGCCGGCAACTGACGTTTTTGAGGATTCCTTTTGTAGAGCAATTTCAAATTCAGTCAACGCTGTCCTTACAGACTCTCCAAGCTTGACGAGTGACGTCAAAGCCTGAGATCGGATAACTGATTCTGATTCGAAAGAAAATATAACTTCAATCTCCGGCCAGTGTTCGGCAATGGCGGTGTACATATCGAGCAAACGGAACACTTTTTCCGGCGACTTCTTGCTATTTTTCGCCACATTTTCCGGGAAACTAAACAAAATCATGGCTCCATCTTTTGAAATTTCAGTAAAACACGACTCTCTTATTGCATCGTTGGATGCAAAGACATGATCGCAGAGAATTCTCTCCCCGTTGAATAACGTTTTCATAGCTACATCCACTGCGTTAAGCCAATCCTTGATCCTCATATCCACAACTTCCCAATCCATTTTATGAACTTGTGAAGAACTCAATTTCTCAACTCCGAGTCTATAAATGCCTTCATCAATGATCGATTTACGCATAACTTTGTAAATATTCAAGCACTCTTTCGCATAGCCAGAAGAGATCATGCAATCTGCTATCAATCTCAAATCCGCCATTACAATATTAGAAAAATCCTCAACTTCAGAAATAGACTCACCGCCAATTACACGATCATCGTCATCCTCTACATCGAATTCAGAAATACTCGAAGCAGTCGAAGTACGGGAAGAGACAGTGGAAATAGATTCAGGATCCAAATGAGCTCTGTTTATTGATAGAATCTGGTAAAATTCCTTTTGAAGTCTTTTCATTGCAATTTGCATTAGAGATTGAGCGCGTACAAGCTTATCGGATCTCGAATTCTCAGTTGAGTGAAAGTGCATAGCCTTCTGTAGATTATGCACACACTTGATAAAATCCTTGGCTTCTCTTCTATTTTCATAGAACAGAGAAGTCACCTTAGCAAAGGTGGTGGTATCTGGGTCCCACTTCATGATGATCGGCTCCGCCATTTCCAGTATCCGATCAATCACCGCTTCTGAAAAACTCGGCCGAGAAGGCGAAAATCCGAAACGGGAAGTGGAAGAGAATTGAAAAGTAGATGGAGAAGCACTATCAGTTGTTAAATGTTTAGGTGAAAACCAATTAAGAGTTCTCATTCCTTTTCTCGGCATCTTCTTCAGTTGCAGAAATGATTCAAAATTTTCAGTGTTTAGAAATGGTTTTGGATGAAGAAAAAAGAGTACAGTTATATGATTGAAGCTTTGATATGAATTTTCATGGCGGGTGAGGGGATATATATAGAGACAAAAGTAAGGCGCGTAGTGGGTATTGAACTTTTGAGAGTAATGAGAAGTCAGCAATAAACGCACGAGGAGCGTTTGACTCTCACGCATGACATGGCTTACACGTAGGATTTGGTGAGGAGTTTGAATTATTCTTGTTAATAATAAAATTATTCAAATTAAAAGGTGTAATTCACACACGTTCCTTGAATAACAAGGAGTTTGAATATTCATAATCACAGTTATAGTTTTTCTGTTGCTTATGTCCCAATTCATTGTATTTAAGTTTAAGAAATTGGAACGATCTAGAAATTACCTCAACTTATAACATATTTAAAAAAAAAAAGAAAAAGGAGTAGTATATTTTGACATTATATTTTCTAGTCATCTATGTGAGATATACATTAAAAAATAAATCCGTGCGAGATATATGTACACACGTGTCTACATTAGAGTATTGATACTGCACATGATTAAATTAAATTAAGTATTTAAAAGTAAAAGAAATATATAGCTATGGTTTACTCGGGAATTGATAACATGGCTTGATATTCAATTGTATATTTTCATATTGTCAATGCATTGAAATTAAAATAGTTTTTACACGTGAGATAAAATAACTCTCCTTACTTATATTCGTCCCGAAATATTTGTTTTTTGTATAGCCTCACAATAAATTCCCACTAACATTTGTAAATGTCTTATTTCATATTTCTATATGAGAAGTGTTGCTCTCAGCTCTAAGACTATTTTTTTTCTATAGTTTCTGAATTTCTAAAAAAATATTTAGTAAGCGAATTAATGTACATAGGTCTTTTTCACTATAAATATTGGTCACTATATTTTAGTCATATTACATTGTTAAGAATAAAGATAAAATAAGGAAAAAGTTAAAAAAGTTGATAATAGTAATAAACAAGACTAATTATTTGAAAACTACAAACGAATGATAAGAGGTGTTGGGGCTGGTGGGGCAGGAATATTTCTTCAGTCTTATTTATCTTTTTAAAAGTATGAAAAAAGTCAATAGCAGTTTCAGTTTTCGACGTAAGCCAAAACATGCATATCATATACCATCAAAACTTAAAAGTCGTTATAGCAGACGTTATCAGAAGAACACATGTTTTTTGACTACCAACTTTCTCTTTACGAGTATAATCTCATTTCTATTTGTTTCTCTTTTTGTCCTTTTGTCATTATTATTTTTAAATATAAGAAACACAAAGGGAATAAGAAGAAGGGCCGATGGAGAGGCGGGGATATAAAAAGGAAGAGAGAATGATTAAAAGTTTTTTTTTTTTTCCAACGAAACAATTCTCGTAAAGAAATATTAAATTTACTTTGTGGTTATTTTGCATGAATTCTCAAGCACTGCACGACTTTCGAATGTGTCATTATGATTAAAATTTGCTTCCTTATTTTCAGCATAGTCTTTCCGATATTTTATTGAAGTGTGAATGATTTATCTCAAATATTATATTTTCTCCGTTTCAATTTAGATGAGATAGTTTGACTCGGCATGAAGTTTAAGAAAAAGAAAAAAAAAGATTTTTGAGATTTGTGTTCTTAAAAGTTTAAGGGTTATAACTTTGTGGAGCCATGACATTTATGTGGTTATAGAAGCTTCACATTAAGGGTAAAATGAAATTTAAAGTTGAATTATTTTCTAATTTAGAAATGCGTCATCTATTTTGGAACAGACTAAAAAGAAAAGTACCTCGTCTAATTTGAAACGGATGGAATATTAGTTATGTCAATTTAGAGTATGTAACTTTATACCTTATTATATTATATAAAGAGTATTATTATGTGACGACCCAAAGGGTCATCACCTGTATTCCTACTCACTCTGTATCTCTGAGGCCGTGAAAACCTCACTTGGGTGTTGCCTCGAATTTGTGTGTGCAGTCCGGGCGCGTGGCCGGAACGTTTAAATATGAATTTGTGAGAAAAATAATAAAACTTTGATGTTTTAATTGATTAAGTTTGACTTCGGTCAACGTTTTGGGACAAACGGACCCGGACTCGTGATTCGACAGTCCCGGAGAGTCCGTAGGAAAATATGAGACTTGGGGGTGTGCTCGGAATCAAATTCCGAGGTTCCAAGTCCGAGAAATGAATTATTGTGTGAAATTGTTTTCTGAAAATAATTAAAGAATTTGAAAATGTTATTTGTTTAGAAGGCTGTGCTGTTGGGCTCGTATTTTGGTTCCGACGCCCGGCACAAGCCTTAAATATGAGTTAAGCAAGTGTTGCGAAGTTTGGTTAGATTTGGACGTCATTTGACGTGTTTTGAGCTAGCAACAGTAAAAAATTTGATGTTTCATGGAAATTGGAAGGAAATCATGGGTCTTGAGGCCTAATTCAATGTTGTTTTGGCGATTTGATCGCACGGATGAGTCCGTAGGATATTTTTGGAGTTATGTGTATGTTGGGTTTGGAGCCCGAGGGCTCGGGTGAGTTTTCAGTGGGTCCCGGGAGGGTTTTAGACTTAAAAGCATCAGAAATTGCAGGTCCAGGTGTTGCACGCCCCCAGCGCGGCCGCGATCATTTCTGCGTGGTCCGCGCTGGAAACCGCGCGGCCTCGGTGCATTTCAGCGCGGTCCGCGTGGCTAGGTTCAGAGGGCCAGTGAACTCTAGGTCAACCAGCGTGGCCGCGCACAATATCAGTGCTGTCCGCGCCAGTCCTTCAGCAAAGTATATAAATCTGAGATTTTCAGTCATTTTGCACTTTTTCAAAACCTAAAACATAAGAGGCGATTTTCCAAACGATTCTTCTCCTTCAAAACGATTGGTAAGTGGTTTCTAACTTATTTTCCTTGCTTCTTAACATCTTTAAACAAAGATTTTAATGGGGGAATTTGGGAATTTAGGGTAGAACTAGGGTTTCAAAATTTGGGGGTTTTGGACCTCAATTTGAGGTCCGATTCCAAAATAACTTATATATCTGAGTTCATGGGGGAATGGGTAGTCGGGTTTTGGTTCGAACCTCGGGTTTTGACCACGTGAGCCCGGGGGCATTTTGGGGATTTTTGAACAAACTTTGGGAAATTCACTTTTCATGCATTAAAATTTATTAGGTTAGCCTTTGTTGATACACTCAAGTAATTTGTGACTAGATTCGAGCGGTTTGGTGGTGAATTCGAAGGGTAAAGCTATACTAGAGGATTGAGTTGAGTTTGAAGCATTTGAGGTAAGTGTTTGTTCTAACTTTGGCTTGAGGGAATAGGATTAGGATGTTATTTGCTACTTGCTAAATGTGGAGTACGGTGTATAGGCATGGTGACGGTTATCTATGCACCGGAGTCTAGCATGACCGTTAGTCTTAACTGCTTTTAATTCGAATGACGTGACACAATTTCCTGGTTAAATTGATAAATTTCATATAATGTGAACGGTTGAGGAAGAATTGTGATTGGTATATTTTGGAGCGTTGGCTAGAACAAGAATGTGATAGTTGAGAAAGAAGTGATTTAAAAGAGGATGTGTTGTGATTATTCCCTTGCCGGGACGTGTAGACTATTATTATGTACTCTCCCTTGCCGGGATATTTGGGTTGTTAGCTGTACCCTTGCCGGGTTAAAGTGTTATGTTGTCGAATTCCCCTAATGGGGCCTTCTTTGCAAAGTCAGATATTTTGAACTATAATATGGGATCGTGTGGCACGCCGTCCACTTATATACTATGATATGGGATCGTGTGGCACGCCGTCCACTTATATTCTATAATATGGGATTGTGTGGCACGCCGTCCACTTATATACTATGATATGGGATCGTGTGGCACGCCGTCCACTTATATTCTATAATATGGGATCGTGTGGCACGCCGTCCACTTATATATTAAGAAATGGGATCGTGTGGCACGCCGTCCACTTATGAATTAAGAAATGGGATCGTGTGGCGCGCCGACCACCTATAAATGAGCTATGGTATTGAGATAGTTTCGTCGTTATATCCGTTGATCTGTGTTCGCTGTATTTTTCCCCGAGCATGCCCCCTTCCTTTTTTAGTTGATATTCTCTGTTGTTATTTCTGTTGCCTTTGTATATATATATATCTGCACAGGTTGTTTTTGGTAGGTCCTGTCTAGCCTCGTCACTACCTCGCCGGGGTTAGGCCAGGCACTTACCAGCACATGGGGTCGGTTGTGCTGATGCTACACTTCTGTGCTTTTTGCACGGATCACAGTACCGGAGCAAGAGCTTTTGGACATTAGTAGGAGCGTTGGGAGCTTACTTCAGTCCGGAGATTTCCGAGGTAGCCTTACTGGCGTCCGCATGGCCCGGAGTCTCTCTTATCTTTGTCTTTCGTTTGATTTCCCTTGTATCGGATCAGACAGTACTGTATTCTTATTCAGACTTTGTATTTATCATTCAGTAGAAGTTCGTGAGTTAGTGACATCAGATCTGGGTAGAAGTGTATTTGAATTTTCGCACTTGGTTTCAGTTATTTATGTTTCGAGACTTCCGCTTTTATATTAATTGCCTCGTTCTTCTTTATACTGTTAATGTTGTTGAGAGAAATGTTAAATTAATTGGCTTGCCTAGCTCCTATTAGTAGGCGCCATCACGACTCCCGAGGGTGGGAAATCCGGGTCGTGACAAGTTGGTATCAGAGCACTAGGTTACATAGGTCTCACAACTCACGAACAAACTCGGTAGAGTCTGAGGGATCGGTACGGAGACGTCTGTATTTATCCTCCAGAGGCTACAGAGTTAGGAAAACTTCACTTCTGTTCTTTCTTGTCGTGCGAATCTGTTTCCCCAAATACTGATTGTCTTTCCACTCTATTCTTTCGCAGATGGCGAGAACATGTGCTTCCTCTTCTACCACGCAGCAGCCCGAGCCCCCAGCAGCAGCTCCTACGAGGGGCAGAGGGCGAGGCCGAGGCCGTGCCAGAGGCCGAGGCCGGGGCAGAGCTCAGCCCCGAGCAGCAGTCCCAGAGGTGGAGCCTCATGTTGATTATAATGAGGAGGCTCCAGCCCCAGCAG